CCCCAAAACCCCAAAACCCCAAAACCCCTAAGAATTCTGAATATATTGAAAAGACTACTTCTTAGGCCCAGTGGCCTTACTCTTAGTATCCTCATAGATGTCAAAATAAGTATTTTTTACTTTATCCTGCATCTTATCCTCATATTGCTCCAACTTATCGCCAAAGAAGCTCTTGAGATCATTAATGTCCTGCTTTTCAAACCCAGATTTGTACTCGGAGATGGGGATCTCAGAGTGGTCTTCGAGACTCTCGAATATCTCCTTGTATTTCTTCTGTTGTAGTGTGGACTCTAGAGAGGGTTAGGTTAGCTTACTTTTACGATAGTCGTAGTTAGCCAAGTCTCCTTTTGAGTGTGATTCCTTGGTTCGGGGTTGTAAGCCAGATTTTCTCTTGATTTCATCCAAAAATGGCCTCGCTCTTTGGAGTAGACGGGATAGCTTGCTCTGTGGTTTCTGGTTTTGGGCTTTCTTTGCGTCGAGAAATGGCTTCGCTCTTTGGAGTAATTTTGATAATTTAGAAACAGGTTTTTCGGACATTCTCTTCTTTTTATCTAAATATGGTCTAGCCCTTCGAAGCAATTTGGAGAGTTGAGTTTCACTGAGATCAACCTGGCCAACTCGGCCATCGAGCCTCTTCACCGTATATCTCTTCAAGTCAAGGTCGTGACCAGGATGTTTTCTAAAATGTTAACTTTGCTCATACTTAGAGTAATGCTTCTGTAGATCATAAAGAGACTTATAATGCTTTTTCTTTTTAGATTTTCTACTGGAGAGTCCAGCCTTGATCCCTTGGGTACAAATATCACAAGAAAATTTGACTTGGTTGACCTCTTGCTGGATAATTCCGAGTTCTTTGAACATGAGCTCATAATCCTTGAGTACAAATTTCTTCTTCTAGTGAGTTAAAAAAGTTTAGAATTTACCTGGATGCTCTCTTTGTTTGTGCTGATCACTAATCCAAACTTAGTTTACCACATTTTTATAGACAACTTACCCTAAAGGAGTAAGAAATGGGTTAGAAATGACTTACTTTATTTATTAATTTCGCAACTGCGGGTGAACTTATCCAATGCTTTATCCGCACAGACTTTCTCAGCCTCATAATCTATAAACTTAATCCAAGGATATACCTAAAAGCTTGTTCTCGAGGTACTCCTGAGTATGACTCATGTACTCTAAGCAGAGTTGGAATATCTTGAAAGACTGGATAGTCCTGGGACAGCCCATCTTCTCAATATCCTCCTTCTGAAGCAGAGCATAGGTCAGATTATTCACCGCTTTGCTCAAAGAGTTATCTTGGCTAACCAAGGCATCAGGGAGGGACTCTGAAACAGCCTGGAGACCTTTCCAATTAAGAGTCTTATCCTTGACTTTAAACACCATTGGTTTTGCGTCTTCTCGAGGTAAAATATTCTCCATAATCAAAATTTAAATTTACAAATTAGTGGGGTTTTGGGGTTTTGGGGTTTTGGGGTTTTGGGG